TACTGACTCTAGGCTGTGGTCACAGCTATTGCCAAACATGCATCTCTAGGAACAAGAAGTCTGTGACCAGCCCAGGAGGGGAAAACAGGTATTTCCTATGTAGTATCAGGAACTTATTTGGAAATACCAAAGCTAATCAGCCTCCAGCTGACGTAGCAGAAGGACTCAGGGAAGTCAAGTTGAGCCCTAGCACTGTGCAAAATGCAGGCTTATGTGCACACCATGGAGAGAAACTCCTACTCTTCAGAGTGGAGGATAGGAAGGTAATTTGCTGGCTTTGTGAGCGTTCTCAAGAGCACCGTGGGCACCGAACATTACTCATGGATGAAGTGACCAAGGAATATCAGGACAAGCTCCAAGCAGTTCTCAAGAGGCTGAGGAAGGAACAAGAAGAAGCTGAGAAGTTGGAAGCTGATATCCAAGAAGAGATCACTTCTTGGAAGTGTCAGGTAGAGACTGAGAGAAAAAGGATACAAATGGAATTTAATCATCTTAGAAGAATCCTGGACAGYGAGGAAGAGCGAGAGCTACAAAGATTGGATCAGGAGGAGAAGACGACACTGGATAGCTTGGCAGAAGCAGAGGATGAGCTGTTGGTGAAAGAGCACCTCTCAGATCTAGAGCATCGGAGTCAATGGTCAACACTGGCGCTACTGCAGGACACAAGTGGAATCATGAAATGGAGTGAGATCTGGACTCTGAAGAAGCCAAAAACTGTCTCCAAGAAGCTGAAGACTGTATTCCGTGCTCCAGATCTGAGGGGGATGCTGCAGAGCTTCAGAGAGCTAACAGATGCCCAATGCTACTGGGTGGACTTAACATTGAATCCAGGCAACTTAAATTTGAATCTTGCACTTTCGGAAGATGAGAGACAATTGACAAGCGTGTGTATTTGGCCACTTAAGCGTTACGATTGTGGCATCTTAAGCTCCCAACATTTCTCTCCAGGGAAACATTACTGGGAAGTTGATGTATCCAAAAAGACCAGCTGGATCCTGGGAGTAYACTGTAGAAAACGTTCTGCAAAGTATGCTGAGAGAAAAGACGCAAATCATACAAATGTGTCCTCCACATACAGACCTAAGTACGGCTACTGGGTTATAGGTTTACAGAATAACTTTGAGTATAATCGTCTTTGAGGATTCTTCCAGCTCTGATCCTAAGGTGTTGGCCCTCTTTATGGGGTTTTTCTCGACTATGAAGCACAAACCATGGGTCACTCATCTACACATTCTCTAAATGTTATTTTTCTCAGCCTGCTTATGCATATTTCAATCTTTATAAATGTCCAGCCCCCACGACACTGTGCCTACTTTTGGATTCCTTGTCTAGAGGCTCCTCTCCTGCTTCTGAACACATCCTGTGGTCTTTCATCCCTGTGGTCTCCCTTCTCTACTTGAGAATTTCTACTCATCCTTGAGATGAGATACACTATGGTGTATCTGGTTTAAGTTAGGAAAGACGCTTTTGTACCCATTTATTCTTCCTCATATTCTCAAAGATAGACATTGAATCCCAGGAGCTCTGGCTGAGATAGGAGATAGGAGGATCACAATTCAAAGCCAGCCCAGGAGCTGTGGCTGAGATAGGAGATAGGAGGATCACAAATTCAAAGCCAGCCTCAGCAATTTAGCAAGATCCTGTCTCAAAATTTAAAAAACGAAAACAGGGAGTTGGGGATGTGGCTTAGTGATTAAATACTCCTGGATTTAATCTCTGGCACCAAAATAAAGATGGATCATTGTTTAAAATATCCGTGCCCTCCCATTTCTTCATATTTCCCTGCCACTGATCTGAAGAGAGTAGCAAAGCCTCTTGGCCACTCATTTGTGTTATTTAGAACAATCCACACAAATCACTCCTGTGACCAGGATGACCAAAAACTGAGGAGTCTTTGAGCAAATGTCAGTTT